CCCCAAAACCCCAAAACCCCAAAACCCCAAAACCCCTTAGTGAAGCATTTATTAGATTCATCTAATATCGTCTATTTAGATTTATCTTATATAACAAATAAATAATCTTAATTAGGACTGCATAGGCAATTTGTTTACTGATAATGCTTCAAATCTTTTGATTATTGCTGATCAGTACACAGTTGAGCTTTTGCTTTAGATAAGCATGTGTAAGCTCAGTCGTTTTCTATAATTCACTTTGAGCATTGAAAACTCTCACATGTCTGTCACAACCTGCACTCAACACATATTCGCAATTATCTACAGTGCTCACATAACTAGTCAAGCTTCTAATCGAGCCTTTATTTCCGACAAGTTTCTTAATCATTTTGTAATCTATTCAAGTTTATTAAAATTATTAATTTTGACTTACTCATTTTTCTATCAAGCACACAGATATGTCCCTCTTAGTTTGCCACATAGACATGATTATCATATTTCTTACTCTAAAGAATCTTGCTAAGATATAGATCATCTTGACCTTTAGGTAGGAATCTAGTATTTACGACTGGTCTACGTCTACCCTCTCTGGTGTCATATTCACGGACATCTCCGTAGGCAGTACATACAACAAAGTTATGATTACTGCCGAGATATGAGAGATCAGTATCCCAAATTGGAATTTATAGATCAAGTTCATCGTTAGGTAAATTTCTTGCATTCCAAACTGGCTTATTATTTTACTAAGAGACATCCCAAATCTGAAGTAAGGCATCCTTAGAACCAATAGCTACTTGATTTCTTTGAAATGGACTTTATACCATGAAATGCACTTTCTCACTTTTAACATCAACTGTGAAATCTTCCGATTTATTGGAACCTTGTTACTTATCTAGCTTCTTTGATGACTTCTTTGACTTCTCTTTTTATTCCTATAGTTTTTCCATCTTTGATACTATCATTTTACCTTTCTCATCAATTATAGCATGCCTAAGGCAGTTTTTAATGAAATTAAACTTACTTCAAATTGAAGATATTATCTCCTAGTGAGGCAATACCCTTGATAATTCCTAGTTCCTCTTTAAATGATTTCTGAATAAAAACATTATCTGTTTGAGTGTCAAAAACCTCTACTACATTGCTCTTTCCTCTTAGATAGCTTACATAGTCATTATTATCTTATCCTAGCGACCACTATAAGAACTGAATTCCTTCATCCTTTTCTTGTTTTCCAAATTTATCCAATTACTTTAGGTTAGCCTCTGCTTTATCCCTTATTACTCCATTATCTTCAAATACTATGGCATCTTGCTTGGGGTTGTTTTCCTCCTCACCAGCTAGCATTTCATCTAGAGTTCTCTTCTTTCTGTTTCTCTTTTTGCTAGGCTCGACAATCACATCTTTTTCTATTCTTAGACTCATCTTAAGTTTCTTAAGCAATCCTGTGTCATCGCCAGCAAATATTGTTCTATAGTCGATGGCTTACTTTGATTCTGATTTCTCCATTAAATAATCAATTTCCTTTAACCTAATTTATATTTAATATTTATCCAACTATGTATATACTCTTGTGCAATAATTCTTAATGGGGTTTTGGGGTTTTGGGGTTTTGGGGTTTTGGGG